CCAATCCCAATAATTCATGTGACTTTTGTCCCTAAGAATGTGCTACCTAGGTCTTTAATTAGGTGTGTATGGTGTTCTGTCCTTGTTTCACCACCACCTGACGACATGCACTTTACCAAGAGCCTCGATCTACTTGTTTAATTCTTAGAACTTGATACTCTGACATTGAGATTTCATGTTATCTTTTAAGATTAAATATAAAAAATATTCTTTTATTATATTTTTTTTGTTAATTTAAATTTTTAAAAAATAAAAATTAATTTTTATTTCATCATCCACTTGAATATTTAAAATTAATATCGTCAATTAACTTATTAATATAATATCAACATTCAATAAGATAATAATACATATAAAAAAATTTTAATTAACTTTATATTATCAATTATTACATAAACATTAAAAAAAATTCAAACAACCCATGTATATATTCAGATATTGGTAAAAGGTAGTTATCCGAAGAACTGTTTCTCAAAATGTTCGAAGGCTTCAAGGAAAACCTATGCTATGTGCTTGTCAATTTCATCAATTATACTGATTGAAATGGTCGACAACGTATTTTGAATAATGATACGATTTTAATTGGCTTAAAAGAGTATAATGCTGTCAAAAATAATAATTTAATTATTCTTCTATTTCTTGAATTTATCTTTTTAAAATTATTTTAATCAATTCAATTAATAACGGTCATTTACATGTAAGTTTACATATAGTAACTTATGAAAATGAAAACAAAGTTGGAGTAGATTGTATGTAAGAATTTAAAATTTAAATATTAAAATTTATAATATTTTTTATTAGCTCAAAGTTATTATTACGGTTGACGTTTTTAATCCCAAAAATATGTCTATTAGGTGGAGAAAAATCCACGACATATTGCATACGTGTGTCCTAATTATGGAAAATCTATTTTTACCCGTAAAATTTAAACTTGCATAAAGGACAAAATTTCATAGAATCCAAAAACATTAGATTACAATTTACATGATATTGACATAAAGGGTGGATATGATTTTAATTAACCACAGTAATAAGCACCCCAAATGTTCAGTCAAAACATGTGGAAGGTACTTTCACCTTCAAAAAGGTCAAAAGTTAGGAATATAAAAAAAATAAATTAACAGTAAAAGAAAATAGTAAAAAAACATTTTTTGTAGTTTCCTTCAACAGCCTTTTCTACTAAGAAATTCAGAATCTCACATTTGAATGCAACGGTTGGTTTTACACAGCCTTGGATGATCAAACCTCAGCTTCGACATGATTGGTTTGCTTACGTCACTTCAATCCTCTGTGTAGAAACCTCATTGGCTATCTTCTTTTTATTTACTGATCTCAAAACCATTAATTTACTCCACAATCAGTGCTTCTAAGCCTTAAACCCTTTTTTAATCTGTCAAAATTTTAGTTTCCGAGTATTTTTCCTAAAAATTAAATTTTGATTGACCAAAAAAAAAAAATTCTATTTATTAATTAGATCAATCTATGTTTTATTAATAAATAAAAAGTATAGTAATTTATTTTGCAATGATAATTTTAAAATTTTATAACTACATTTATAAATTTTTTTTTAATTTTAATCATGAAATAAAAATATATAAATCCATTTAAAACCTTACACTCCCACGAAAAAATAGATTTTTCTAACTCTCAATGTTTATTCCAATTGATAAATAAAATATTTATATATTTTTATCATTCAAGTTCAAATTTTACGATAACACATTAGAGCAAAATCTTGAATACATTGAATTAATATGAGACAATACATTTTTAAAATCTTCCATGGAAAATGATTAAGCGTATCAAGGTCTGAAGATATTCTTAACTTTTTTAGTAAAAAAAAATGCTTTTTAAGTGATGGAAATTAACATTAAAATTAATATATTTATATTGTATATATTTCATATCAAACATATATAAATATAAAAAAATTATATTAAAATTCGTATTAACTTAACTATCACTAATATGTTTTTTTAATAAATCTATATAATATTTTTGTCAATTTTCATATTATTATTTTATGTTTAAAATTACCATATTTAATTGATATTAAATATTTATCAAACTCAATTTTAAATTTTTTATATCGTATTATAGTTTTATGTTTAAAATTAATAAATTTAATTGAAATTAAATGTTTATTGAGCCTAATTTTAAATTTTTTATAACATATTATTATTTTGAGCCTAGAATTATATAATTTAATTTATATTAGATGTTTATGGAATTCAATTCTAAACTATTTATTTTTAATTTATTTTTAGAAGTAAGACGTGTTTGGGCAAGTAAGTCAATAGGAATAAATCTCTATGTACTAATTTCTTTCCCTTACCGTTCTCTGTTGTTTAATTTAAGGCTGACACTATCAAAATAAAATTTTGACCAATTTTTTAAAATGAAAATTTTGACTTTAATTTTCATCCGTCAAAAGGAGTACTTATTATTTTACTGTACCACGTGGCAACCTGAAGATGTAAAGTATGTGCCAACGTGTCATAAGTGTCAGAATAATTAACACGTGTCACCCAATCATGGAGTTGTATTATTGCTGGTATTTATGGTTTTTTATTAACTTTTCGAGAATATTTTGTGCCAAAATAAAAAATAAAAAGGTTTTTAAGTGATGTTTAATATGAGATTATTATTAAAAAATCATGAATTTACATATGTGATAGTTATTATATTTGATAAGTATTAGATAATTTATGTGATGATAATTTAAATTATTGTGATTAATTAAATCATTATTTTAATTATATTATTGTCTTGAAATGTAATATAACTTTTATTCAAAAGAAAATTTATCTTTAAAGTGAAATGATATGTAAAATTAATAATAATAATATTATCTATTTAATATGTAAATTAAAAATTTATTTTTTTAAAATTATATTATTTTATATTATATATATTTACATTTTCAAACTAATATTTATGATAGGAAATTTAAATATAATTTGTGTATTTTTATTTTTTAATCTTTCATATATAATTTGGGCCCTTTTGTTTTCTTTTGTTATAAATTTAATAAATTAGTTTTATTTTCCAATTAATTTTTTGCATAATTTATATTATAAAAATTAAATTATCTATCAATAAATATATTTATTAATATAATGATTTAATTATAAAATATATAAAATATTACTAATATTTTACAGATTATTATTTTCAAACAATATTAAAATCATTAACTTATATATTGATTATAATATACATGATTATTTTTATATTTTTAAATAAAATAATATTTAATTTTTAATAATATTAAATACAATTATCTTTAATTTTTTAAAATTAATAATTATTAATTAAATAAAAAATTTAAATTGAGAATAATAAAATTATCTTGACAATAAAATTATTATAATGATATTATAAAAGATAAGAAACAATACCTTAAATTATGATACGGTTTCAGGACGCTGGAGGTGTTAGGAGTGTAATAACGATGTCGTTGACAGTTTTTGGACGGAAGAATTGAGGGAGTTTTAAGACAAACAACGTTCAAACGTCCGAAAAATTCTGCCAAGCCGACAAAGATACCTTTATTTTTTAGGGCAATATAGTGACCTATAAAACACCTTGGCTGTCAATCTAACCTCCATAAAGACAATTTTACCACTACCAATACCTTTGAAATGAGGATAATTATGTCATTTCAAAAATGATACTACCCCTACTAGTTAAATTAAAGAAAAAAAAGCAAAGAGTTGCCAAAAGAATAAAAATTGAAAGGGGTAGGTTACTGTTAAAGGAGGTCCAGGCCATCCTGCCAGTTGACAAATTTAAGATGGGTTACAGTCAATGTCTCAGAAATCAGAATTGCAGGTTTCCCTTTCTCTTTCTCTCCTCTCCTCTCCCGCCTTGGCTTATTGTCATCAGCTCAGTCATAAATTTTGCCCAAACCTAACAACTTGGTTTTACTTGCTTCATTGCTTCGTTTACAATCAAATTAGCTTACTTTAATCCCCTATGTTCTAAATCTTTCATATTATTTTGCACAATGAAGACTTTTTTTACTTTAAATGGAAAAAATTAATACTATTGCAAAACAGGAATGATCCGTCAGCAGCCTCATGATTATTTTAAGTAATTAGGATTTTGATAATTTCAAGTATTCAACAATACTTATGATTTTTGATGCAGACAATTTACTATTATAATATTTATAGAGTATATGATTCATGTAATCATAATCATACTAAATTTGAATTTTAAATATTAATTTTTTAAGAATTATTAATAATAATGTGAATCATTAATAAAATATTAAAATTTTAATTTTAATGATAAGAATTCAATATTAAATGATCTCAAAGTAAAAAAAATCTATAGTTAAGATAAGTATGAATGTTAAATAATTTTATGATATATCTCATTCCATTGGTGTAGGTTTTGAGTGAAAAAATGTATAATAATTTTCCAAGTTGGTGTAAGGATTTAATTTAATAGTTACATTCCAGAATGTTGTAGCTGCAAAATTCATTAGTAAAGGATAAAAAGGAAAGAAAGAGATGTGAAGAAAATTACAAATTGCTTGTATTTTTTGTGGCTAGGGGAGTCAAATAATTATTTTTATTTAATTTAAATATATATTTTTTATTTTATTAATAATATCTATAAATTTTTACAAATTTAATAATACCTATATTATATATTATATATTATTATTTTTTATAATAATTAGTTCAATAGATTAATTTTTTAAAAATATTTATTTGAATAAAATAATTATAAATACTAAAATTTTAAAATAATATATGTTAAAATAATTTAATTTTTTTTTTAAAACTTAAAAAATTTTCATCCCAAATGCAGCGTAAGATATATATATATATATATAAATATATATATATATATTTATTACATAAACATATCTAACCCCAAGTGGGGTCAACAACTTAACCATGGATTAGAACTTGGGTTAAAAAAATCAAGTGGTTAAGAAAGACAACCACAAAAACGCAGATGTTCTATTATCAACAGTCATCACTGCTTTCTCCTTCCTCCGCCCTATCCTTTTCTTCCTTCATCCCTTGAGAAACAAAAAAAAAAAACCAATATCCCCATACAAACTAAGAAAAAAGAACCTATCTTTCTTCCTTTTTCCTCCTTTTTTCCATTTCCAAACCTTCTTAATATCTCCCATGGTATTACAATTTTCATAAAACCCATATTGCAAACCTTTTTTTAAATTTATTTTCAGCTTTTTCTTTTTTCTTTTTTGTTAAATCTTGATGTTAGAGCCATGGAAATAGCCCCCACAAGCACCTACCCACTAAGTACTACACCGAAATCACCAGAGCCAGAGAGTGAAACTCCAACCCGGATCCAACCCGCCAAGCCCATATCTTTCACCAACGGTGTTCTCAAGCGTCACCAGCCTCACCACCACCATCACCACCTTCTCGTGCCAGCCATCGTCATAACCTACAAAGAATGTCTCAAGAACCATGCAGCCACTTTGGGTGGCCATGCTCTAGATGGATGCGGTGAATTCATGCCATCCCCAACAGCTACTTCAACTGACCCAACTTCCCTCAAATGCGCTGCTTGTGGCTGCCACCGCAACTTCCACCGCCGGGAACCTGAAGAGCCACTTCCCACAACAGCCACCGCTACAATAGAATACCAGCCTCATCACCGCCACCATCCACCACCACCGGCAAGTCAGCCGCATCGTAGTCCTAACTCAGCTTCTCCGCCACCGATCTCATCATCTTACTACCCTTCAGCTCCGCACATGCTTTTAGCTCTTTCAGGAGGTCTCACAGGTGCATTAGACAATGCTCACAATAACTCTCATTTACCAGCTGGTGCTGCAACTCTTGGCCCAAACACTACAAATCATGGTTCGAACTCGAAGAAAAGATTCAGAACAAAGTTCACCCAGTTGCAGAAAGATAAGATGCTGGAGTTTGCGGAGAGAGTTAGGTGGAAGATGCAGAAAAGAGATGAAGAACTCATTCAAGAGTTTTGTAATGAAGTTGGGGTTGATAGAGGGGTGTTAAAAGTTTGGATGCATAACAATAAGAACACTTGTGGGAAGAAAGATCAAGCCAATGGAGGAGGAAGTGGGAATAATGGGAGTGAGAATAACAATAATACTGATAGTGGACTCAACCATGAAGACAACAATGAGAGTTATGGGAATAACAACAAAAACAACAACAATGGTCAGAATCTGAAACATCACTTTGAAACTGATAGTGTTGCTCATGTTGGATCTAATGGTTCTTCTGATTCCTCTTGATGATGATGATCGGCTTCATCTTTTCTTTCTGATGGGGAAATAATAAGCTGTTAGATATAGAGAGTAAGGACTTGTTTATTAGCTGTTTTTTTCCTTTTCTTTTTCTCAATTTCTCCTTTTCCTGATCATTTTGTTGCTAATTAGTTTAATTAGTGATCATCACTTTGTTGAGGATATAACATGGGAAGAGCTTTGATCCAAAAGGGAATTTATTTTCTTTTCTAGTACTAGTAGTATTTTTCTCTTTCCTTCACCATTTCTTTCAAATTCTGGTTTTTTGGGATCATAAACTACCATGGTTTCTGTTTTCCAGGCAGTGACAAAAAAAATCTTAAACCTTTGAATTTGTAATGTTCCCTTAGACAGAGATAAGAGAGAGAAACAGAGGGAAAGAGAGAGAAATCGCTTCCATATCCCATTATCTTCTGCCTGAGAGGAAGAAGGCAGAAGGTGTTAATAAAACTTGTATCAGATTATTTTAACGTATCCCATTAGCTTAATACTAACACTTTATGTTTAAATTTATGTACACAATAGCCTTATATCGGAAGATGTTTAATAATTTTTATTTTTCTGTCGAGCAAGATTCTTATAGTTGATTGCCTAGAGGGAGCATATCATTTTAATATCTTCTCAATCATCAGCTTTACTTTAATTTTTTCTTATCAACCCAAACAAGGGGTGGGGTGGTCTTTACCTCATAATTTAAGATGATTTTTCAGAATAATTAGCTCCCTCTGGAATCCGGACATTTGTTTGTTCATAATTGCAATATTTTTGTGGCTGAGATATCCTGATAAAACTTATTTTTTATAAAAAAAATTTTGTTTAGTTATTTTTTTTTAAATCCTAATTTGAAAATAAAAAAAAGCGAGGTAATGTAATTTGAATTTTAAGTTTACTAATCTTCACATCGTAATAAAGCTAAATTTAAAATTCTTAGGATTATTTACAACTTTAATTTATTCTTCTTAAAGTACAAAAAGAATGCTTAATTCTTATAGCTTTCTTCTTGCTTTAGCTTTTTTTTTTTTTATTATTATAGTTTTAAGATAATACAGGATTTTTCTAAGCTTTGATGGGCCATATTTAGGGTATAATATATTATCTAATCTCTTGGCATTATGTAAAACTAAGGATAATCTAATCTTTGCTTTATGCAATTTTTTATTTCACTTTCCTTTTAAGGAAAAGAAGAAGAATTTGAAGTATCCATTCTTTCTACTATTATTAGTCTTCATATTGTATGGTATTATTATTAAAGTTAGTATTAAAATGGGAGATTATGACAAAAGAAGTAAAACATAAATGTTTTATGTTTTGGGTGTCTTGTCTGTAACAACTAACCTTTCTGGGTTTGTTTTGATGAAGTCATGTAATCTTGGTGGGTGGGGGTACATATTCTTAAGACCAGGGAGATTCACTAGTTCCACTCGAATTTTGAGCTTTGGTCTGTTTCCAACATTAATTTTTAATTTAATTTAATTTAATGTTATTACTTTTTTTTTATATAATATCAAGAATAGCTATTAAATTATAATAAAATATTTAAAATACTATCTCAATTTAAATTTTTTTAATATAATATTTAAATTATAAATCTATTAATTAATGTGATATTAAAAATAATATTTATTTGTCATATATTATTATTTGAAATTAATTATATTAAAAGTAAATATTACATTAATTAATAGATTAATAATTTAAATATCATTTTTTAAAAATTTTTAAAATTTAAATATTATACTAAAATATTTTATTATAATTGAAAGATCATTCTTGACATTAATTTTTTTTTCTAACATTGATGGCTAAGTAGATGGTTTGATTGAGAATTTTGTTTTTGAAGGTTAGAGATTTTGAGGAAGTTGAAGTTTTTAACCATAGTCGGATTCTTTCAAATTGAAGTTTGAAGGTTTAAAATTATTTTTTTTTTTAAACTTTTCTGTTGGGTTTAAAATTTGGGTGTATAAGATGTTCTGTCATTATTGTTCAAGTTGGGAAAAGAAAAAATAAATATAAAAGTGAGATGGAATAGGTTTATCATTTGTTAATTTTGTTTAGTGTGATTATAAGTTTGTGTTAGCTTTAATTATAATATTGAAATGAATTATGATTAATATAATAATTAAAAGGTTAAACTATCAATCTGAGTGCCCATTTCTGTTCATGAAAGAAATTGTTTGGTGTAATAAACTGACATTACATCAATAATATTTTTTTAGGTTAATGACTACATCAGCAATAGTTTTTTTTTTTTTTTTTGCCATTTTCTTCCTCGGTTTAATCTTTACACGTAGTGCTGGGAAAGGCTACGTCTCATTCACCGCATCTAGTCATAATGAAGAAATTGGGATTTTTCATTTAATTTAATCTTACTTTAGACATTTTACTTTTTATTTCATTTTTATGAGCAATTGAGATTTTGCCTTTTCACACAATGATTGAATTAATATGATTAAATTCAATCAATTTAAATCGATTAAATCAATTAAAATCAAGTTTTTCTCATTGTTAACCTATGTTTATATCTATAGTTTTAGCTTTTTGCGTTTATTTATTATTGTTATTATTTATTAATTAGAAAACATTCAAATTTAATTCTTTTATTTTTAATAAAAAACATAAATATCGAAATGTCAATTGTGTGATATTTGTATTTAAATGTTTAATTTAATGATAAATAAACGTATTTTTATTTAGGAATGAAAAGAAAAAACTTTGCGTGGTATCTACGCATGATGATTGGCACAGGCTGTACATACAAATATTTCAGATTGAGCTGTTTTTTTGGACTGTTTCTTCAAAATATTTTAACTATAAAAATAAATATGGACCAATAGCTAGAAGCCCAAGCAAAAGTAACGTGAGGTTTCAATTGCAAGCATGGTCTTTCCTTATTGTAAAATACAACAAAATTTAAATTTAAATTTAATTGATTTTTAAATATTTATTTGTTAAAAAATATATTTAAAAAGTTTAAAATTTTATATTTGCATATATTTTATTTTTAAATTATAATTTTTTTTTAAAAAAAGTTACCGTTGTTAAAAGTTGAAATTTAAATTTATTATGACCTCCTTTGCATTAAATAAAAAATATAATAATTTGTTGAGATAAATAATTTAAAAATCATTCATGCAAAGTTTATGATATTTCATTGTAATTTTCATTTGGTTTTTACAATTAAAACTACAAGAAAGAAAGTTATTGAATCATTTCATGTTACTATTTTACGCTTTGAATAGAAAAATGGAATATGTGCATGCATAGATAATAACAGAAACCAAATTATTTTTCTTGATTGATATTTATATTTTGGTAACTATTTTTGCTCAATTATGATCTCATAAGAGAATAGAATAGAATACGAAGAATCTAAGAGCATGATTCCTTTCTTTGAATACAAATTGTAGATTGATGTTTGAGTAGCAACTACTCAAATAAAACTTTTGACTGTTTGAGAAACTGGGGCAGAGAAAAAACCCAAAGCATTTTCTAGGCTATACACAAGAAGCCTTCAAGCAAACAAGTACCATATTATTTCTTTTGAGTTGGCGAAGGGCGAACTTTTCTAATCCCGATTGTCAAATAAAAAATTATGCAACATTAATTGAGTTGAATATTTAGAATTTGAAGTTGATGAAGACCAAATTTTCCAATATTTGATTTTTAAGCAATAAATTATATCAATTATTGAGTTAAATGTTCAATAATACAATTATGAGACGGTGAATTTAGTTTATAGTTTGGTGTAATGATGCAGAAGCTGAAATTAGGGTCCATTTGGAATTTAAAATAGGGTAAATTAGGCTATTCCTTTGTTGTTGGAGATTTCTTCAAAGGTAGGCTTGCTAATGAGCCCTCTAATTAACCTTGGTTATTTAGGTCCAAGACAGAATTCAACCCAACAACCTTGGCTATCAGCTAGCCTATTATTTAATCATGTGGAAATTGCCGACAACGTAAGCTTCATATCCACCATGCTACACATTAATGGGAAGGCCTAAGGATTCAAAAGATAATAGCTAGCTACTTATTTAACTCTTTAATTTTTTGCATTTAATTATTGTGTGCCAATGCAAATATCGTTATGAACTTTACGTGTAAGATTAACATTGTATTATACAAAATTAAGATTCATCAATCGTAACAGTTACCATAAGTTTTAAAAAAATTGAAAGTGATTTCAAGTTTAAATTATGTTGCTAGACAGTTTCATTTTCACAATGAATTATAACACATGGACATGATAAACGCTAAACAAATTAAGGCATACATTTGAAGGGGTTCGTGTCGTACTGAGTTTGGATGGAGTTTGCAACTTGGGAAATTTAGAGAAAAACAACATTTCTGAATTTATTACTCTTATTTTCAAAGGGTGGTTTCTTGGCCATGTCCAACTTTCAACCCCACGACTCCCCATCTTTCATGAACGTGGCTATGACACGATACTATTTCTGGTAAATTACAAAATTATTACATAATTCATTTTAGAACTTGCACCTTTAGGCATGGTTAATTAATTTTTTTAATAAAAAAGATTGTAATCTAAAAATAACAAAAGGAAATTACAAATATTAAAATTTGAGTTATAGATTTATTGGATATTAACTCATAAAGATAATTGTATGATTAATTGAGTTACAAATTTGTTGAATATTAATTCGACTTGACATAATTAAAGGTGATTGTATGATTAATTGGACGAGTCTTAGGTTCAATGAATTTTCACTCTTTTTTTTTTCCATTTTACAAAAGAGTAGTAAGAGGAAGAAAAGAAAGCATGTAGATGGAAGATGCTCATTCATTAGGTTATAAAAGCACTGAAAGACTAAACCTAAGGCTTATACTTTAAATCCCTTTCCCATATGCTTGCTCAAGGAAAAGAAAGGGAAGGGCACGTAAGACATGTTTGCTAAAATCAGTTATTTCAAGTCAATTAGAGGACCACAACAATTAATTGCAGCATAATTTTTATTTGCACTTTATTTTGTGGTCCAACTATTCTCAAGTCATATGTCCCTAATAATCTCCATGTTTGATTTTGCCACTTGCTTTATGAAATGCTTCAAACAATGACTTTTGTTAACGTTTGTTGATTTAGATTTAGATTACAATTAATGAACTATATATTAATTGGAATGAGATCAGTCAAATAAACGAATTTCATATAATTCAAAAAATTTATTTCTTCTTTATTAATTAAGAATTTAAAATACCTACGGCTTTACATATTAATCAAATTTATTTTCAAATGAATTGAATTGAATTTTCGTTACGTTCCAAAACACATTGATGTTAATAGAAGTTGAAACTTAATCTAATGTTTAGCCAAATGGTTGTCTCAATCCAAAGCTCATTTTCTTGATGGCTCACAAAATCTAGAGGAATATAATCTTTGAATTTTGAAAGATCAAAGCCATGAAAGCAAGTTGGAATGGTCTTTAGCTCCTATCCCACCAAGTTTTGGACTTTTAAACCTTGTGAAATCAAAGTGGAAAGAGCCCAAATTGTCTGACCCAAAATTTAGGAGACCAAGTGGCCATTTTCCTTTCCCATTCATATCGATTTTGTGGCTAATTTTGAGTCAGAATGTTAGCAAACTTGACTTGTTTCGAATCTGCAATCTTTATCTAAATTTTCGTCCTTTATCAACCTAATCAAAGACACATAATAACATAATAATTAGTGAGGAAATTCATGCTCGTTAGACCTTGAACTTAGGATAATTTTGATTGGCAGTTTGGACATGAGTTCAGACAAAGTAGCTAAGAAAAATAAATTTCGTTGGGTTTTCATTGCACCTAAAATTTTTATGTTGTCTAGCCCAATAACAAGGCAGCCCATTGGTGATCAATACCCATTAATGATGGGTCACTTTCGACTGTCGAAAGAATTGATGGAGTCATCTTCATAATACCAACGTTCAAGGGAACTTTCCCAAGTAGGACAGTTATCAATTTCTAATTAAAACTGATCTAACTCTATTTATATATTTTTCTTTTCTCTCTGTTATCCCTTGTCTAGTCCTAAAGCTTCTCCTTAATTTGTTTTTCTATCCCTTCATGCACAAATTTTTTTTTTGTTACGTGCATGAATCCTTATTTTATTTATTTTTAAATAATAAGTATATGTTGAATATTTAATTATATATTATAGAAATATTTAAAATTAATACCATAACAAAAAACATATTTGAAATTAATAAAATGCATATATATTAACATGTAAAATTTGGCTTATGTGCAAAATATATTAGATTAACATAATATTTATTACTTTCAATTTTAATGTAAATTAAAACTTTAACTCAGTTTTATTAATCAAATAAATGTATTTAATGAAAGCAATTAAGTGGAGGTAGAGTTCTTATTTTTAAATTGAATAAATCTTATTAATATTTATAATTAAAAATTTTAATATGAAAATTTAGAAAATATTTATAATGTATATTTATTGTCATCAATTCAAAATATTCTTCACATCCATAAATATAAATATATATATTAATATTATAGTTATAGATTATTTAGTCACCAAGAAGAAATTTTTTTTGGGGGTAGTTTAATATTTATGTTGCGGTAATAAAAAAGTTTGGGTTGAAAAAGTGTTATTAAATTGTGTGGTTAAAAATTTTAATTGTTTTGTATTGTAGTGAAAAAGAATGATAAGTAATTGAAATGTCTAAAAAGATATATATATAAAATAATAAAATATTAAAAATATAGGATAATATAATAATTTTTTATTTCAAAAAATTTTTTTCACCGCAAAACTTGAGTAATTTTTTAATTTGTTTGGGTTGCAAGATAAAACTTTTAAACTGAAAAATCATTTTGTTTTTGTTGTTTAACATTGAGGTTGAGTCAAAAACATTTTTTGAACGCAAAAACTAAATTCAAAACTAGTTCTTAGTACGACATCTAATCCATTCGATTAAAAAAAATTAATAATTAAATAAATCAACCAATATGAACAAAGAAAAAAAATGGACTAAACTTAGAATGAAAAATTAATAACTTAATGTTTAAGTAAATCGAAGATTAAGCATCTTCACAAAAGAAAAGAAAAGAGAAACTAATCCATCATCCAAATGTTTCTTTCACTTTAATTATAAAAAAATTTTCTTTTCATCTTTCTAAGGAAGGCTGTTGTATGCCTCATTCCAAATCAATTAATGAAACTAAAAGATTTTATATATGTGCTTAAATTTCATTAGTGCTCAGCTGAAATTTTATGAGGACAAAAAGTTTTGACTTTTATTTTTTTTTTTTTGCGCCAATTAGAATTCAATCAAAGGAAACATAGAGAAAGATCTTGTTCTCAATTATGAAAACATAAAAGATATTGTTCAACTCAAATAATTGAGGAAAATAAGTTGCACTCAATCTACAAAATGAACAAAAATACAAGCTAGGTCTTAAAGGAAAAGCTTTCCTTCCCTAGAAAAATAAAAAAGACTAATTGATAACCTAATTTATGCACTACTTCTTGTAACTCTTTTTTTGCATTATTATTATTATTTTTTTGAGAGGTGAGATATTCTTAAACTTTGTCTAATACATTTTTCTTTGGATCGGTCCAAATAGATTTATTTACATCGAATTTAATGAACTTATTAATAATTATTTTCTCACACTCTTTCAACAAATTTGAACTTGAGACAATAAAAATAAAAAGAATAAACTCTATTATCACTTGAGCCAACATCAGATATTTTTCTTTGCAATATTGCTTTAAGAATATATATCATAAGATCAAATTATGCATAGATTTGGGATATTTTCAAAATCGACATCTACCTGATTGAACTCTACGTATACCTGAAGGATTGTTCCCTCAATAACTAACTTGAAGAAAGAAAAATCTGCTCCTAACTTGAAGAAAGAAAAATCTGCTTACTCACCTCACATGGCAAATATCTAACCTTTTGATGATCACGAGTCTAGCCTCATTTCCCTTTATGAAGAGAAAGTTTGGAAATATTGAACCATTCTTGAATTTCTAATAGTACATATCTAGCTGGTTATTTGCAAATAAATTGGAAAAACAAAGTTGTTTGAAGTTTTTGTTATGACCTCTAAATACGACTGTTCAACATAAAAGTATATATTTACTTTAAAGTGAACTACAGTTAAATAATAATATGCTAAAAACTTAAAATTAACTAAGTTGATTCATACAATCATTTTTAATAAGTAACAGCAGATCTGAGATTCGAATCTGAATACAATAACCCCTTCTTTGTTCTTGAGACATGATTTTTTTTTCTAAAAAATATAATATTACCAACGAAAAGAAGTTATATAAAGCCTTTAAAGCTAAAAGTTGTCTAATATTCTATCATCTTTAACAACCTTTTCTTTTAGTGTTAAGATCAATGAACACTATTGAACAACAGTAACGAAATCATAATTTTAATTACATTTTTTTAAAAAAATATTATGGTATACAAGAAAACAGGGATGTTACCGTTCGAAGATTTTTACTCTAAGGCCAACCTTTATTTCAACCCCAAGTGGTTAGTTTAAGCTTTACAATTGGATTTTAAGTACATCACTAAGACAATTTCCCATCATAACAACCAGCAGATTAGAACACTTTAGGAAATATTCCATTAGTGATTAGATATGTGGGCCTGTGAACTTAAATACAAAGTGATCTAATTACCATACAGATTAGACTTCCACATTTAGGAAATATTCCTTGGATTTTTGCCCTGAGCATCACAAGATAATGTTGCTTGTAAAAATTTCATAGATTATTGTTTAATCAGACGTATGTTCTTCCTTTGAGTTGTGGCATCTTAATCGACTCTTTTTGGTTTTCTTTTGGTATGGCCTAATGGCTTATTGTTTGCTATTCTAAGTTGTTGTTGTTGTATCCTCTTTTTTATTTATTAATTTTTAAAAACTTGCCTACTTTTTTGTTTTAAAGAAAGAAGATAATGTTGCTAATGGTTTGGTGAAAAAGCTTACTGGCATCAATATATATCATCTAAGAGATGCGTGATAACCCCTTATGCAGGTTTCAATCATGACATATACACAACTCAAACAAGTGAAAGCACCATGAAAATTTGGAATTTAATTCCAAAGGAGATGAAGCAAATTTACAACTCAAAAACAAATTACAAAGCTACAATTTCAATTATACAAATTCAGAGCTAGCAGCTAGTATATAATTTACTTTTACCAATTTGTTACCACTGGTTGATGGTGCTGTTCATAAATCATGCTTAAGTGAAAGAAGAATGTTTCCTTAATTGCTTTCTAATTACCATATACTAATTTGAACAAGAATCATAAATTTAATCATCCAAAAGGCATGCAAAGTCACATAACACCTCATACAACTACAATAATTTTAAGCAGATCATGGAACTGCAGAAACAGCAGCAAAGTTAATTGCTAAACATATATATTCCTAACGGAGTTAGTCAAAATCATCACCTTTTTCCCACCTTTAAGCAAATTTTATTCTCCCTATCAAGGAATCAAGCTAGAGAAACTGAAATTGCCAAGCTAGGTCAACCATGGGCCATCACTCCATTATGGTGTAATCAACAGAAAAAAAAAACCATTAATTCCTTCATCAACAACATGACACAAATTCTTTTGATCTCTTCATAATATAGAAAACAAGCTAAGAAAAAAACCATACCTTCAAGAAACACAACACAAATTATTGATAGGGGATAGGTTTTTCCATGACTGATGATCATGTCTCCGCAAAAACTCAAAACAGTTACCAACATATCAAAGCAAACACATACATGATTACATAATTGAAACCTTCCATTTATATAAACATGAGCAGTAATTAATTTAATAAAACTATATATTTAAGCTCCGTTGGAAGAAGGAGGTGAAGAGCACTCGCAAACTACCTCAGTTTCAACTTCCCTTCTGTGGAAATTCCTGTGGCAGCCACAAGCAGCGCATGTAAGGGCTGCAGTTGTTCCTTCTTCTCCACTGGCCATGAATTCCCTGCACCCATCAACAGCATAACCTCCAACGGAGGCGGCATGATTCTTTTGGCACTCCCCATATCTCACACTTCTAATTGTCAATGATGAATTGGTGGTGTTTCTTGTTGGCTCCTCCCTTCTCACAACTACCTGTCGCTTCCTCATTTCGCGAACCCCAAATTGTTCTCTAAAACCTTCTTCACCACTAAACCCTTGTAAAACTGAACCACAATTTTCAAATTTGATCAATGACCAAGAATAAAAAACTGGCATAAAAAAAGCAAAAAAAAAAAAAGGATTGAGAGAAATTCAATAGTACTAATATATAGAAAGAGAGGCAGAGCTTTTAGTCTGAGCTCAGGACCAAGCCCTAACCCTAGTGTATATATTTATAGCACCAAAGCCTTGTTACATCCCCTTACTATATTGTTATTTTAATTCTTTACTTGTGAGAATTGGGTTTTTTTTTTCCACTAGTAAACCCTACTTGTGAGAAATGATTGTCCAACTGCCTTAGCAACTCATCAGAGTTTAGTGTTATATAATAATAAAACTATTACCATTAAGCTAAGGCAAATCCTAAAATGATGATAAAACCTTTTTTTTAGGGTTTATATTTAATACACTATCAGTGTATAAATTATATACACTGTTAGTAAATAAGATGATGTCATCTTATTAATGAAGTAAATCAGATGATATAATCTCATTAATGAGTAAGTTTTTCAAAAAAAATTATTTTTGTATATTTATTTTAAGGGTTGACATTTGCTTATTAATGATGTAGCATCAGATTTATTAATAGTGTATAAAATCTATATACTGATAGTGTATTAAATATAAACTCTTTATTTTATTCAAAACTGTGATTGATTTAAAATGGAATGAACAGCTAAGCTTTAGCTTTTTTTTTTTTTTTTTAATACTGCTTGGCCCCTAAACTGATGTTAAAAGGCATTGCCTTAGTGCTTTGATACGATGCCAACATCAATTGTCTCTACCTTGACCTAAAAACGTGACTCATCTGAAGCTTACTAGCATGCCTGCCAAACCTGTACAGGAAAACAACATCTTGTTTATTTAATTTGCACATAGCAGATTTTGAACATATTATGCCACATGAGACACAAAAACACTGTATGACCCTTTCTTTTGCTGAACTCAAATTCATTGAAAATTATCGATTAACTTAGTTTTATTAACTCTTTCCAGCATTAATATGTTTCTTTGTATGAAAATACCAAAGAATTTTACATTTCAAATCTGTTGGAGTACAAAATGATGCTACTGTGAATTCATGCATGGAGACTGTCGATTGAAGTACTGAATCTTCTACTTCTATTCTCACATTAAATTGGAGTCACAAATGTTGAATTTTTTAGTGCAGTTTTTGAAGTATATATATGAGATTAACCTACTAATTTACATCTTTAATCAAGTTTGTTCATATATACATGGATTTGATAAAATCGAATTGGCTGAGCAAAAAAAAAAAAAAAGTTCATTTATACAGTACAAGGTCCGTACATAGATTTGAAATATATTAGGTTTCTGCTGCCATATCATATGGATGAAATCGGTAATGTACAAAGGTTCTTTCATAGACTAATTTTTGAAGGTGGAAACACATGGATTTGATGCTAACATTACATGTGCTCTAATGTTATTTACCAAACTTTATTACTTTTCAGTATTTTAATGAGGCTTCAAGATATTTTCTTTGTTGTTAGGTAATTTCTACTTGGAAAATGGTGAGACAAAGAATTTTTGCTCCATCCATGTAGTTTTTGTTATAGAGAAAATGACACAGCTCTTTAGTTCTTTTTATCATTACATTTGAAGAAAATTCGAGAAGTTTTGATTAAACCCATAAGTGAAAAAAATAAATTCAAGCCCCATATCATAAAATTATGTTAGTAACAATAACAAATATATATGCTTTGCCTTTTGGCAACAGAATTGGAAAAGCTATTATCTCCTCCACCAACCCCAACTCAATGCCCTTAAACGTTCTATTGCTGTTTTTCTCTCCCTCTCAAACCTTCTTTGAATGGCAAAGATAGACTAAAAAGCAAAGAAAAGCATAAAAAAAAGTCCACACATCCTATGGCCCTCTTAAGGGTATCACTGAGAATATTTGGGAACACAAAGTTTAATAGCTTTAATTTTTTTATTTGGGCCCATTTCAAGCAATAAGAACTGGCAAAAAAAATATGAGATAACCCCTCTCCCAAAATAGAAGAAATGAGATTAGAATTTCCAAGTTTGATGAGTCAGAGAATGAAATTTTAAATAAAAAAATCGATTTAGAAGTGCTTTTTGGGTATGTGATACAGAATTAATGGATCATTATAAAAATCCAATGAATTCCAATGTTACTTTGTCTGGTTTTTTCAAATCAGTTTCAAGTAATTTTGTTCCAATTATTAGCAAATTAAGTTCCCAATGTTTTCGTGATATATAATCAATCGACATTTGGTTAGGTAATGTTGGTAAGGGATATTGATGGGAGAGCATGCAATGTTGCAATAAGCTGCTAAGTTTTTCCATTTTTGATCATCAGGTGGAAGATATATATATTTTTTCTAGAGCTGCCTTAAAGGAAATTATGTGCAACGATGAACTTATTTGGGATAGTGCCAGCATATTCATTGTCCTTTTGAGAACACATGATGAACTGATTAGCTAATATTTGGGAAAAAAAAAGTGGTTTCTTTTCTTTTATTGTTTGTGAGAGAGATGGTGCTAGAGGTATTCATCTTAGTTGGTACGACTAATAGGGTATATACGTGAAGGGCATGTTTGTTTTACTGAATCATAAAGACAATCAAATAAGATAAGACAAAAATATTATGAAAAACCCTAAATAATAACTACATCATGAGTTGTCCAATGAGCCTCAGAAAATAAGCAGGCATGGTGGTTAAATTCTGAAGTTTGTTTGTTTGAGATTAAATGTAAATTAAAAATTAAAAAATAACTATATCATGAGTTTGTTTCAAAAGACAATGAAATGGGTTTAAATAAATTGATAAGTCGATTAATGGTATGTTCACATTAAATGATTTAATTATAAAATAAGAATAAAAATGATCCAATTGAGGATATAAATTGCATTTTGGGTGGGGAAATGTTTGATAATTGCTCAAAATTGAATTGTATTCCTTCTCCATTAATGTTGATATGTAGGTACCATTTTTTTAGGAATTTATCAAATCAACTAACACAAATAAGATGTGAGCTGTAATAAGAGTACCTAGAAAAGATCAAAAGGGAAGAAAGACATTTATTAAGGACAGATTTGTGGATTGACAGAGACTTAAGTGCATGATTGTGTTTTGAGAAGATGTTGAAATGATGAGACCTCTTTGCCACTCACCAACCCAACCCATCCCAACCCAATTAGTGATGCCCACTGTAAAAAGCTTATTGATTTTGGCTTTTTAGGTCATCAATTAGTGATGCCCACTGTAAAAAGCCTATTGATTTTGGCTTTTTAGGTCATCAATTAAGCATCTTAGGCTTCTAAATCACATAATTTTCCATTTTTCAAAAAAAATTGTGATATCCCAAAGTGACATTAGAACTCACAAAAAAAAAGTCAGTCTTGATCAAGATAACCCAATAATGTAGATTAAAATGGAAATCTTGATACAAAAATGGAAAGTCGGTGTTGATTGATGCAACATTACAAGAAGGACTCTTATCCTCTCTGAAACTATATTACTGCTATTGTATTGCCTGCCTCTCCTGCATGCAAAAAAGCATCTACCTTGTGCAAATGAAACCCTTTTGGACCACAAAATGACCAATTGTTGATATATTATTAATTTCCAACATGTTTACCATATAGTAATATTTGATGAGAGTTTCATCTCCAAAGTCCAAATTCATTGCATATATAATTAAAAGAGTAGAATATTAAATGCAAATGCTCTTTTTTTCCCAAGTTGAGCAAACTCACTTTGGCATATCCTCCTATTTGATATCCTCATTTGGATTTGAGACTGATCTTACAAATTCATAATCAAAGCTTGCAAGGTGGAATTTTGGATAGCTGCTAATCTCATTCAATATGATAACTTTTTACCATTTTGATTAAAAGTGTTGGCATCACCAAGATTGTGGAAGATATATGTGGTTCCCACTCTTTCAAGCTTGCCTGTCTGTAGATCACTTTATTTGCTATTAGTTGATGGATACGTTTTCACCAAATTGAAATAATGAAGGTAAACCTAAATCTTACTGAAGATTTTGTTTTTTACGAACCATGATTAGGATGATAATTTTTTATTTCAATATTTACTCGTTTAATACTTATAGTTAATATTTGAAAGTAAAAAGTGGAATGATAATTCAAAATAAAAATTATTAAAAATCATGTGATATATTGATAAAATTAATGTTGAAATTTTAAATCTATTGATTAGAAAATGATATACAAGTTATAAATCTCATAAAATAAGTATAATTACTTGAAATAGACATGTTATTATCTTATATATATATATATGTATATACTCACTTAGATTTTTAGTGAATTCGATTCATGACATTATATTTGAATGGATGTTATCGTTGAATTAATCAAGCTGGATCTATAAAACGCGAATCGCATTTTTAACCAGAAAAAACATGAATTAACTGTAGGAATTAAGGGTCAACAAGTTTAGTAGGACACTCAATCTGTGACGACCTAATTGGATCCATTGTTTATCTATAATATTGGCTTTTTGAAAATTCCAGATTTGGAAAATAGTTTTAAGTATCCTACTCAATATTGCCATCTCCAGTCTGGTGAAACAATTTATTGAACTTAATAAAAAAATTAAAACGGCATCAATTATATTTTTGCTCTTAATCCGATGCCTATTAGAGTAGTACAACATACATAATCATGTAGTAACATCATTAAGGCTAAAATATTAATAAATGTTATTGTGCTTTAATTTTAAAATTCTCAGATAAACTCCTATTCTTCTGTGCATTCAATTAAATCTTTGAAATAACATTTTTCTTTAACTAAACCCTTAAATTACTATTTTTATTTAATTAAATTCTTAAAGTATTATTTTTATTTAATTAAACCCTTAATTTTTTCATGAATTTATGTTATTTTCATGCCAAATTAGGGTTTAGTTAAAAAAATATAATGTATGAGTTTAATTAAATACAATAGAAGATTAAGGGTTTATTTGAAAATTTTAAAAAAGCATAAGGACATTTTTTAATAATTTTTACCACCATTTAGAGAAGTAATTTGATTGTACAATAATAAAGGAAAATGCTAAGGAGCACCTTCATTAATAGAAATATATTTGTTACAATGTTGAATATAAAATGATTTTTTATGTTTCATACCTGTATACACTTCATTTTATTCCAAATCTTTTAAATTTTTTTTGAATTTTTATACCATTAGTCAAAATTTGGGCTTTTAAAATTTTTTGGACTTGAATTATGTTATTGAGCCATGGGCTTGATTTGGATTATAAATTTACTATTGATTTGGTTT